CAGTTATCTTCCTGACTCACAGCTCACACCATGTACGTTGCTTAAAATATCGACCTATAATAAATGACTCGTTGTCCCAAAGTAATTACCTTGGCTAGCTTGACCTTTCCATAGTCGAAGCAGAAAAGCGTCCAGTTTGAAATTTTAATACATAAGTATTAATAGATATGTCAGCATACTTTTAACATATTCGTCATGGTGTATGTTAATAATTTGCATCATTTTAAATTTTTCGCATTAGCCTTTTTTATTATAAGGAAATATCGGACATTCATTGACTGAGTGGACGTTATTAATAGGGCCGGTGCAAGGATTTGGTGTGTCCCCCCCGCGAATGTATGATACGGGGGCTTCCCACTCTATTTTCATTAGGTAGTATTTATATAAAATACAAATTTTATTGTAATCTAATTATGTGAAATAATGGATCATATGCAATATAGGTGAACAAATCAAGTAGAAAAATTGAAAATAAATTAAATGCCTCTAAACACAAATTAGAGACATGTCATAATAAATCATTTCATCTTAAATAAATCTACAATGTTTTGCGGTAATTTTTAATATCAACTTGAGATTTTTCTTGTTAAAAATTTGAATAATTCTAACACATTCAACATTATAGATGAAAAATAGTGAATTTTATATAGTGTTTGTTTTTCGGGACTTAGTATGAGTAAAATAAATTCTGGGATTTTGACGAAAAGAAAATGTCAGAATGGCATCAAAATTCACAAAAATATTTTCCTCCTTAAATAGTCTGTTGTGCTTAGTTTAATTTGTAACGTATATAAATGTAGGTCGAAAAAAAAAATAGCGAGAGTCACAAAGCAATGCCCGTGGTCCCCAATCAGGCTTCTCCGATTCGGTCGGGGGGTTCGTGAGTAGTATAGTTATTGCATGAAACATACAATTATGGCACAAGGCCGAAAAAAAAGGGGAAAGGGTTTGAGGCTGGTCTTCACTAACTATCTTATACCAAGCTAATCTGATTCACGACCCATTCACTCGTTACAATTCGCGCATTCACCTCAAAACCCCGTCCGTCACCAACCAATCCTTCATATACCAAAATACCTCAATACTCTCAGGGAACCTAAAAAAAACGCACCCCGTGACATAAAAATCTGATGATTATAAAAATTTATACATAAAAATTTATGAATGATTTACAATGAGAGGCGGGAGGGGGATGCGCCCCAAAACAAACTAAATATCAAAACATCAAAATAAATATAACTGATGTTAGTAGGACCCGTCCAACCCTTAAAAAAGAGGGGCCGCTCCATTCTGCCCCACGACAGAATCAAGAGCCCCCTACCCCTCCCACCTCTAAGGGAGAGGGAAAGAAGAAAATATATACCGGCTCTGATTATTACTGTCGGTCGGAATTTATAAAATCTTTTTATTAAAACAAATTTTTCAGTATAAGTTTGTCTGGTCGATAATATATCTTGAATATTGGGAATTATCTAATTCTGGTTATAAATTCAATTATTATAAAAGATTACTCTTTCTATAGGGCGATGTTGAAAAGCTCTAAGCCTGACCAGAAGAGATTTTTAAAAAAAAAATAGTTATTTGGTCAGATTTAGGTAAGCAGGTGGGACAGAGATCTTTTCAGCATCCCTTCGGATTAAAAAAAAAATCAATTCAAGGCAATAATGCCACTAAGACACCAAGAGATACTTGCTGTAAAAAAAAACCAAAAAACAAAAAAACTTTAGAAGAAACCGGAAACCCAATCCTAAACAGGAAACAAGGAATAAACCTCTACTCCTGCACAAAAGATCATGGAGGAACGATGTGAACTGGACGATAGGCGAACCTATTTACTACTATTGAGGGAAAAATAAGTAAATAAATAGTAAATAAAAATTTCACAGTTTAAGCGGAGACGTTGGAAATAGAAATGAACTAGACTTTAGAAGAAACCAGAAACCCATTCCTAAACAGGAAACAAGCGATAAACCTCTACGCCTGTGCAAAACACTGGGAAGGAGTGTGAGCCGGGAGATAGGTGAATCTATCTACAATGTAAGCCAAGTGACCAAATTATGAGAGTTTAAGTAACTGTTCTTTGTATAGACAAAAAACAAGGAATTTAACAAGAATTAATTGATCAAATTTTATCATCGTTTCTATCAATCATGGAGTACGGTCTGTTAAATTCTTAAAACGATTATCTGAAATGAAATATTAGAATGGGTTTAGTTTGGATAATTGAATAATTATAGTTTTTCTCTTCATTTCATTTCTGAATAATCTAAATTCGGATAATCGAGGAGGCACTATAAAAACGGTTAGCTTCTCCTTACAATTTTAAAGTATTTAACGAAATATATTTTAAAAGTCAAGAAAGAGAGAAAACAAAGAAAGCGTTGTAGCATATTTAACCAGCGAGGAAATCGTTTGGCTGTTGTTTGCAGGTTGTAAAACTTGCAGCTTATTTATTGTAATGGAAACCTACCCAATTAATAGTAGTGACATACAGCTACTCTACCTTTCGAAATTAATTTGAAAACACGACATCTGAAATGTACAGAAAAGAAAGAACTCTTAAAAAGAGAACATATGCCACGAATTGATACCCTCTCCAAGACGCTGGTCTCAGTTTAACTAAATAAATTCAGAATGTCGTCACGTTCAGTCGTATTTTTCTTTATATTAAAGTAGGTACCTCCAAAAGATTTTTTAAATAGAGTATAGCATGAAGAAAAGGACCCAAACTTAATAGAAACAAAGCTATATCGTCAAAATGTTTATATAATTATTAAGAGGAAAGACCAAAGTATTTTTGTTTATTTTATTAAATGTTTTAAATCTTTCTAACACGTTCGAAAATTTGGTTAAAATCTTGTTTTTCTTGCATCAATGGGTTGGCCAAAGATTAGTATGGGAAATTTAACGTAATTTTGACGGTAAAAAAAGACATTGTTTTGAAATTTCTTGCAAGAATCAAATAATTGTCGGATTTTAATGAATTTGTCAGGACTTATTCACAAATGAATTAAATTATTTTGGTAATTGTTTTTTTTTTAGAAGATTTTGGTAAAATTATATTTTTTTACATGTTATCCTACTTAATTTTATGCAAATTTCCATGGCCTTCGTATTTATATTAGTTAAAACAAGACACCTTGGAGAATTTAAATCATCAGTTTGTTTTTGTCAAACAGAGACACTATTTACCGAAAATCTGCTCTGAATTGTAAAATAAAAACATGCAATAAAACTATGATATCATTTAATTAGAAAATCTTTTAATCGTTTTTAGAATTAAGATATATTAAGGACAATACTGTCTTAAGAAAAAAAATTTCGATGAATAATGAATTTTTACAAGAATTGTTTTCGTTTTTGAGATTTTAATTATAAAAATTTATTGTTTTAAATCTTAATATTTTTGATGATATTATTAAGTGAAAACTATATTTACTAATCCTAAATGGAAAAGTTTAATACAACTCATCAAACACCAATATTTTAAAAAGAATTTTGAATTTTTTTATTAGTGTATAAATATGTTGTAAGTATGGGCGACCATACACGACATTATCAGAAAATAAGAGCTTTGAATGTAGCAAATTGAAAATCAAAGTTTTTAAAATTCAACAAAACATTAGATTACGGAGAATATTTTTATGATTTTTTTAAAAGATAACTGAGTAATTAAAAATTTTATAAGAAAGGCGCACGTGTCCTTTTCTTCAAGTATATTTTACAGACAAAGTCTCCCTAAAACAACGCTGGATCTGTTATCACCTTGTCAAACACGTCAACACAGCTACCGTCGGGTTTAAAAAATGTATTTCTGCGATATTTGAAATTTAAAGTAAATCATATTTGTTTCAAATCAGATTGATTATACTTTAAATCAGCTAATATTCCACAAATAAACTTTCAGAAACGTATATTTTATTTTTTTTAAATATTTTTTAATAAACAGTATTACAATGAGATGAAAGAAGACTAAAAAAAACAAACTCTTTCTAGTCAAATTAGTTTTTGAAATATAGCAAAGTACTTTCTTTATTGGAAATATTAAATTTAATCTACTAGTTTGAAATTAAAACTAAAATAAAAGCTTTAAGAAAGATTTTTCATTTTTAAAATTCATTTTAAATCTTAGGCCCCTATTAAAAAAAAAAAAACCCCAAAAACCTTTGATGTTTCTCTCCCGTCACCATTTCCTGTTTCCCTTTAAAACAGAAGTAAATTTGAGGGAGCAACGCCTTCCATGTATCTTCTTTTCTCTTCTTCGTGAGAAATGACGGCGTTCCCCAAAACGGAACACCTAGCGACATACGTTGACATACGCATAGACACAAAATGCACACAATCATGTGCATGCTTGCGCCGAAAGAGGCGCACTCATATTTCTTTGTCATTTCTGATGCGTATCTACTTTTTGGCGGTCTTCTTCAGTCAGACTTAGCGTCTCGGCTTGTCTGCCTTGCCGCTTAGATGAAAGCAAAATGGCGGAAAAATACCGGAAAGAGAGAAAAAAGACGGCCAGATTTTGAAATCTGATAAATATTTGGATTTCTGCTGTCGACAATAGGATACAATGTTTGTCATCCTCGACGTCGCCGAATAGCGAAAAACAACACCATTAATACAAAATGAAAGAAAAAAAAAAGTAAAAGTAAAAAAAAAAGGCCTTCATAGAGGCAGCAAGCAAAGATGGCTGAATTGATACCTTTCTTTTACGCCCGGAAGAGAATCGAGATGGAAGAAGTCAAAAGCAACGCCTGGACAATGTGTTTGCTGTTTAGTCAACAACAATATAGGTGTTCTTTACATTCGTATACAACTGGTTGACATGAGTGAATTACGTCGGGAATATATTGGGCGTTTCTCTTGTGGACAGGTCAAGTTTTGTATGTGTCATGAGTTGTTGACAGGGACCACGTTCTTGTCTTCGATCTTTTCTTTCTTTTCTTTTAAATAGCTTATTTCTTTTTATTTCTTACTGCTCTTTCTTCTGTTCTTTTTAGTGCTCCCCTCAATATATCGCCGGTTGTCTTTATACATCTATATTTTTGGTTCCGGGACGAGGATCTATCTATCTATCTATCTATCTATCTATCTATCTATCTCCGTCTGTTATTGTTATGGTAATTTACCCACTCACGCATGGACTCTCCCAGCTATAAATAGGAGCAGGTACTGCCTTTTGAAGAAGGAAGCTTCCAGCAGTCAGCTCTGACAGTCTGGCCGAACATTGTTGCTGTAACACTCTCGTTTGTAGATGTTTGTATTACTGTTTCTGTTAATATATTTGTTTAACTCAATTCCTCTCTTGTGTATTTATTTCTGGCCCTAATAAGGCCACAACATCTATCTATCTATCTATCTATCTATCTATCTATTGGGTTGGCCAAAAAGTTCGTTCGCTTATTAATTAGAAAATTTATTTAATAAACCAAACGAACTTTTTGAAGAATCCAATACTTTCTCTTAGGTTTCACTTTACATCATTTTTCGTTCTATTTCTTTCGGAATGAGTTGATAGGTTCGCCTATCCCGGTCTTTTGAACAGGAGTAGATGTTTATCCCTTGTTTACTGTTGAGGATTATGTTTCCGGTTCCTTCCACACTATACTTCTCCAACTGAAATGTTATTCACTAATTAAATCTTGACCTCCTCAATTGTTGAGTTATCTGTTATTTTTCCTGCATGGCCCCAAGAACCTAACTACTTCTCCTTTCTTACGCTCATAAAATTCTACACAGTAATCCTCTACCTTGAGTGACACTTTAGCCTTGTATTAGGTGAACATTAGTAAAAAAACAAAAAAACAAAACAGAAAAACAAACAAACAATAAACAAAAAAAATTCTTCTTTCTTTCTTTTTTTCTTTGGTACGTCTCTGGATGTATCGTTCTATTTTTATGCATCGACACTCGATGATTTTTGTTTCTGGGATGCGGAGTTATCTATCTATCTATCTATCTATCTATCTATCTATCTATCTATCTATCTCCGTCTGTTTTTTTATCTATCTATCTATCTATCTATCTATCACCGTCTTTTTTTATCTATCTATCTATCTATCTATCTATCTATCTATCTATCTATCTATCTCCGTCTGTTTTTTATCTATCTATCTATCTATCTATCTATCTATCTATCTATCTCCGTCTGTTTTTTTTATCTATCTATCTATCTATCTATCTATCTATCTATCTATCTATCTATCTATCACCGTCTTTTTTTTTATCTATCTATCTATCTATCTATCTATCTATCTATCTCCGTCTGTTTTTTTTATCTATCTATCTATCTATCTATCTATCTATCTATCTATCTATCTCCGTCTGTTTTTTTATCTATCTATCTATCTATCTATCTATCTATCTATCTATCTATCTATCGTCTTTTTTTTTTATCTATCTATCTATATCAAACGCACAGAGACGACAACAGCATTTCTCTGTTGATCTGTTTGTTTGATCTCTTCTGTTCCAAACCAGGTAAAAAAAAGTTCCAGGAAAATAAAAAGAAAGAGGGAAAAAGATAAACAAGTCATTTTAAATAAATATATTGTTGAGTTTACCACGTGTCATCTCCTCTTTTCGGTTTTTTAGTGGCTAGTCTGATAATATATATAATAACGGAAGATTCGGTAACAGAAAATTCAGTAATTTTGACAAGGTAGGAATATTCCGTAATTATGAAATAAAGGTCGATTAAAAATGGATTTTAGGGCCGTTCTAAAGTGGGGATTTGGGGGCTAAGCCCCCTACTTTATATTTTTGAAATAGAAATGAAGATATATAGTTTTTGCTTTTTTAAAAACAAATAACTATTTAAAACTTAACTATTTAAAATTTATTAACTAACTTTTTATTAAAACAATAATTTAAAAACAGAATACAAAAAATTAACTTTAACGTAGATAAATCGATTTTATTTGCTTGAAAACAATAGAGTATGGTAATTAAAGAAATAGTTATTTTAAAAAATATTTACTTAAAAATATTGAAAATGGGGCTAAGCCCCCACCCCTATCCAGACAGTACGACCCTGGTATTGTTGCCGTGGGGTTTTATCTGAACTGGAACCCATGATTCTTTAGTTAATACTTATTTAAACGTATGTGGGGAGGGTGTATCCCCTCCAGAATGTACGGCTCTGGAAATGTTGTACTTGCCCTAGACGCAAGCCACCAATCTGCCACTGGGTGGCATGCCATTAACATCTATCTATCTATCTATCTATCTATCTATCTATCTATCTATCTATCAAGACGCTACTGGCCCCCTGGCGGACCACGTCTTACGTGTGATGGGTATCTAGACCTTCATAGTTAACAATACTTAAAAAATAAAAATAAAATGAGGAAGGAGGCCTAGCCCTCTATTGTCCACTTCTGCAACTGGTTTTTAATTATGCCAAATGTCTTTACAGCAATACTCAAGTTCTGTACCACTAAGAAAGTTGATATATATATATATATATATATATATATATATATATATATATATATATACTAGCTTAAGAGCCGGCTTATCGGGTGGCCTTTAAACTAGCTTCTGCGGAGGGCTCTTGATTGGGCCTTTATCACAATAGGTAGGGAAGAGTAGATAGACAACACTAAACTACAGAAGAACTCAAAATTGATCGCTGCATTTAAGTATTGCATTAATATTTAAGCTTATCTTTTAAATTTTTTACTAATAATTCTTCTATCGCCATTTAATTTAAAGACAATTTGATGTACGTATGTCCTTACTTTTCGTAAAAACAATTATTTTTATTTCATGGGTGACTTTCGCTGGATTTTGCAATTAATTTCGATAATTTTCAAATTTATTTCCAACTTATAAAAATTGTTATCGTACAAAAAAAAAAAAAAATCCTCGCAAAAAATTCACATAAAAATCACCGAAAACAATTGCAGCAATGAAAACTTAGGAGTTCAAAATTTCAGGATTGCGGGTCTGGATCTGATCCAGAATATTTTTAATTTGCCCAGGGAATCTGCCTGATTCAAAAATTCTATGATATGTTGGGGTACGGCCTCTAGGAGTAAAGTTGAAACTCGGACAATTTTATTTTGAAACACTATAATTTGAGAACAGTAATTTTCTCATTTGAACATGAGCTATTGAATGATAGAAGGTTGCGTCCGTTGAATTGTTTTTATCAGTAGAAGCCAAGATGGCGAAATCCGAAAACAATCGCAGTAATGAAAACTTGGGAATCCAAAATTTCAGGATTGCGGGGTCGGGTCTGGTCCGGAATGTTTGCTCATGGGGTCGGCCTGATTCCACAATGGTATGACATGATGGGCTTGGACCTCTAGGGGTAAAGTGGAAAAAGTGAGACACAGTGAAACACTGGCGCTGACCCCCACCATATATATATATATATATATATATATATATATATATGAATAAATAAATATTGATATAAAAATGAACATAGAAGTCAACACTAAGAGACGACAGTCTCTTTCATGCTAGACGCAATCGACAGGTAGGCGGCCTGGCGATTGCGTCTAGCATGAAACAGCCTGTCACCTCTGAGTGTTGACATCTATGTTCACTTTTATATCTATATTCACATACGCTCTGTCTCTGATATTGACCACTTTATCCCATAAATATAGCACACCTTAAAACTATATATATATATATATATATATAGTTTTAAGATTTTATATATATATATATATATAATGTAATGGACAGTTACTCGTTTTCGAATATAGCTGTCTGCAAAGGTGGCGAGCTAATCCCCATTGAAGACATCCACTCAGTCACATTTATATATCTTTTGTAGCCACATAGCCTACATGCAATTTATATAGCAACTATACTGAGCAGACCAGAGCTACAGTTTCTAGGAGAGAGCATGACATAATCAACAGCTGATCAAGGCCGGTGCGCTCAAACCCACGGTCACTATGACTTGTGATTTCATGTCTGCATATATATATATATATATATCTATATATATATATTCAACATCATCACTTGATAAGACATTGAGGGTGTTGAAACAAAATGGCTATTTTTGTAGTGATTTATAACATATTTATGTTGTAAATTTTTTTAAAAATAAATAATTATATATATATATATATATATATATATATATATATATATATATATACGTATTGAAAAGAACGCGAATAAATTGAAATTTTGGGGATATCATTTAAAAAACAGAACCCCTTAAAGAATGGACATAAACAAGAAACTTTGAAGTAGGGGAAACAACAAAAAAATTATAATTAAAATTATGTAATATTTTTATATAATATATATATATATATATATATATATAGGAGAGAGAGAGTAAGAGAGCGAAAGAGAGAGAGGAAGAGAGAGTGAATGAGTGAGTGAGAGATAGAGCTAGGGGGAGAGACATAAATCGAAAGAAAAAGAAGAAAGCGAGGTATATTTCCTTTTGTCGTAGGGAAAGAGATCTTTATCTCGGGAAAGGGAAGTACAAAATTTACTAGAAAATTTGGTGATAAGCAAATATACAGAGAGTGAGAGAGAGAGAAAGAGAGAAAAAGAGAACTAGTGCAAAAGATAGATAGATAGATAGATAGATAGATAGATAGACGGGGTAGGCAGGAAGTAAGAGAGATAGGCGTGAATTATTTTGACGAAGGTAAGAAGTCTATTGGTGTTGTGAAATTTCCTTTGCTAAATCAACAATATCTACCATGACACCGGCGACATATTGCCCGTTTGGCAGAGGGAAGACAGGGGCCTTATTCATTGGCGCGAATTTATCATTGTCGAAAAGTAGTCTGATGCCCTTATCTTAATGGCGACTAATGGAAGGCCAAGTAATCGAGTCTGGCGGGAGTCAGTGCAGTTTCTCATCGACAATGAATCGGGGTGGAGTCGGGTGGCTGAGTTTTATGTGAATACCTATGTTTATCTATATATTGTGTCTATGCGTATGTGGGGTGTTTTTTTTTAAATGTATATAAGTATACATCCGTGTAAAGATGTTATGTGCGTACCTGTGTGTGTCTTATATATTTGTCTTCGTTTCTACATACATGTATGCATCGTATATACATTTTTATATACGTTGGCATAAATATATGTCAGTGCAGGTGTACGCCTATGTATCATATTTATGTAGTTACCTCGAAAGAAACACGATACCGAACGTTTAAAATGAATTTTTAAAAATGAAAAAATCTTTCTGGAAGCTTTTATTTTATTTCTAATTTCATGCTAATAGATTAAATTTAGTATTTCCACTAAGCAAAATACTTTGCTGTATTTCAAACCAAATTTACATTGACTGGAATTATTTTTTAAATCGCGAAAAATCGCTGATATTAGCGCCATTTTAACCTTCTGACAATGTAATTCTCTTTAATAAAAATCTTTCAAAAATAAAATATATTTTTTCTGAAACTTTATTTGAGGAATATTAGCTGATAAAAGTTTAATTAATCTGATATATATATATTTTTAATCATTACGCTCCGAGCAAGGCGTGAAGCCACTAGGATGCAGGGGGTTGCAGAAGATTTGGAGCGAGAGCAGATAGGAGTGATAGAAGAAAGGACGAGGAGAAGGATAGTGGGTAGATCAAGGTAACTGGAGATGTCGATTTATATTTGAATAGTTGGAGATTATAGCTCTCAGGGAAACAGTAATTGGGAAGGGTGTTCCACAGGCGAGAGGTGCGAGGTATGAAGCTATTGGAGTAGAAGAGACGGCCACATTTAAAAGTTTCTACAGTGTAAGGGTGGGAGCGGGATGCCAGCCTCGTAGGGCGCTTGAATTCATGGAGTCTGGGAACCAGTGAAAGCAGCTCATCGGAGCAATTATCATGAAAGTATTTGTAGAAAAGACAGAGAGAGGCGACGGCGCGTCTGTGAGAGAGTGACTAGCCGAGATGCCAATTACATTACATATCTGTCTCTGGATCTTGTCAAGAACTCC